CCTCTTGACACTTGGAGAAGGGGAAAACTTTTTGAAAGAATTGATAGATTCCTGGTCAATCAAGCGTGGTTGGATACCAACATTATGACTACAATTTCCCATCTTCCTTACACATGCTCAGATCATAGGCCTTTACTAATCTCTATATCCCCTAATACTGTTGCTCCATTACGAAGATTCAGATTCCTTAATGTCTGGGTGGAACATCCTGAATTCCTCTCCTTTATTAAGTCTATTTGGGTACCTGTTTCATCCTTCCCTCCCTGGTTTAAACTATGGCAAACTCAAAGAAAAGTTGCTAATTTGCTAAAAGCCTGGAATTGGAACTGCTTTGGCAACCTTACAGCAAAAGTTGAAGAGGCTGAAGCTGTAGTGAAACAAGTTGAATTAAACATTCAGACGGGGCTATCTGATGAACATAACTTGATTTTAGCAAATGCAAACCTACTTCAAGCTATTCAATTGGAGGAAGAGTTCTATAAACAGAAGGCTGCCATAAAAAAAATTTGTTGATGGGGATAGGAATACAAAGTTTACCATTCTTGTATTAAATAAAGAAGACATTCCAACACCATCTTGAAGATTAAAAACCAAAATGGCAATTAGGTTCAGGGATCTGATCTAAGTCACAGAGATGTTATTGATCACTTTCAAGACCTTTTATCTGAACCCCATGAGGCTACTCTCGTGAACTTTGACTCTGGCTTACTCAATGATACATTTTTTGATATCCAGAGCCTAGATTTAACATTTATTCCTACTAAGAATGAAATTTGGAAAGCTCTATGTTCTATAGAGGGTGACAAGGTGGATGGTGCAGATGGATTTACTTCTAGTTTCTACATAAAATCTTGGGAGGTGATTAAGTTTGATGTTGTGGAAGATGTACAGGCCTTATTCAGAGGGGAGGATATGCCACATTATTGTTGACCTCACTTTTGGTTGAGGTCTAGAAACTTCTTTAGTAGCCTAGGTCTAGCCATAGGACTTTCCTATTGACTAGTCTTAGAAAATTAGAAAAGGTACCCACCATTAGAAATTCAAAATTCTTCTCTTTGCTCAACTTGAGATTCCACATATTGGTCCTAAACTCTAATGTTTAGAAGGTAAGATCATTATGGGAAAGCTCAAGAAGAGTTTTTTTTATAGGGTTACTTGGCCTTAGGATTTACCCTGGTGTTGATTTGAAGCTAAGGTACATTATACTCTTACTATATCTTCACAATACACTAATTAAGATCAATACATGAGAGCCCAAAATGGGGATTTCATTGATCCATGATTCATTTAGAATGGATATCTATCCAATTCTATTTGAAATGCCTAACTTGGTCTTTTGCCCCTAGGCACCTCCAAATTACTTAATTGCCCTTGGGACCCAAATTTGGCCAAAATTCCTAAATTTT